TCTAGGCCCGAAACGTCAGCCTTCCTGCTCCTCTGATGCTGCTTGCCCTGCTGAGTTCATCCAGCTCTACATCTTGTTATCTCAGATTATCCAGCATAGTTCCTACTATCTGTCAGCAATACTGCTGTCTTGTTTTAGTGCCTGGAGCCTGTGGTACTCTAATGGCTCAGACGGCCTAACATGTTTGTATCCCACCATTGGTAGTTAGTTGTGGAAGTGAATTTAATAAATCTTGTTAGTTGTGTGCTGATGCCGGGGCAGGAGTGATGGTGGATTGTTATAAACAAGTCCCGAAGGGAGAAAAAGCTGCCATCCTGGCTGCATTACTGGGTGTTTCTGGTTTCACAAACAGTGGCTCACCCTTAGAGGGCTGGTGGCATGTAAAGCTGGGCAGTAAGTATTTCCTCGTCAGATAAATTCTCAAAAGAACCCCTTTCACATACAACTGTGCCTGTATCCCCGTGTTCAAGTCAGTTAGTTATTCCAGGGACCAGTGAATCCACCATTCTCTTTGTCCTTGTTGCTGCTTTGCAGGCCTGGTCATATCCTGAATGCTCATGGTGACCGTGCTGTATAATCACTGTGGCCAGCATTGCGAGTCAATAGATCAATCACTTAGTTCCTGTCTGTTCTCTCTTGGTGTCAGGTGCAGGAATTTGAACACATCAATGGGAAATGGAGCATGCCAGAGCTTATCCCAGAGGTCACTGCTGATTCTAAGAAATCATCCAGAGCCTCGTCCCCTGTAGTGAAGACAGCAACAACAACACCAGAGCCCAGCTGTAGCAACACGCCCTGCACTTCGAAGCCAGGTACAGGGAGGAACTGAGAAACACTCTGCAGTAACCAACCCCCTCACCCCCTGCACAAAACAGGTACACAGGGAAGTGAGCTGTGCATATAGCAATACTGCTCCAGGATCAGGTATCGTAGTCTAAGGATACTGGGTAGACCAATTGGGACTGACATGCAGAGAAATGTCTTCATCCAAAGAGTGATGAATCTGTGAGATTCTCTGCCACAGAAAGAAATGAGGCTAAAAGATTGAATAACTCACTTGAGGAAGGAGTTTGCAGTTCTGGGGGCAGAAGGGATCAAGGATTATGGGGAGAAAGGGGGAACAGAGTAATGAGATGGATGTTTGGCCATGGCCCTATTGAATGGTGGAGCAGGATTGAAGGGCCGAATAACCTATTGCTATTTTCTGTTTCTACGTAAACAGCAATTCCCACCCCCAACCTCCTCTCCCACCCTTTCCACCCCACCCCCCCAACCACCACCACCACCACTCCAAACCAAGTCCATAGAGTGTGCGTCACATACCAGGTACACAGGAGAGAATTTTTTCCAATGTGTACCCTTTGTAGTTGTTGTAGAAGCAAACTATTGGCCCTCACTACATACAGTGCTGTCTTCCATTGTACTAGCAGACACAAGCATGTATCTGATAGATGTTTTCTTGAATTTTGACTATCCAGCAACTCCTGCTCCAAGTGATAAAGTGGAGGGAAGTGGAAATCCTGCTGAAAAGGAGATGACAGATGCCAAGGACGAAGAGGCAAATGGTGGCGAGAAAATGGAACTGGAGGTAGTATATGTTCTACATAAACAATGCATAGGCTGGGGGAATTTTGTACATTTTTGGGCGGGAAGGGAGATGTTATTGGAGACAGTGTGTTCTTATGTGCAGTCTATTCTACAAAATAGTAGTGTTCACAGCCTGAAATGTCACCAGGCTTATTAACAATTCACTTTAATAGAACCCATGTAACAGTTCTGCAAGCTTTAGCTGGTTAATTCAAATGTGATATGGTGTGACCGTATTACAGACAAGTTAAGCAGATCAAAACCTGTTCCAACTTCTTACACCCCTTCCACATGACAACTTTGCACAGTTCATACGATTCAACACTGATGTAATCGTACCCTGGTCTAGCAGCCATAGATTTGGAACTTTAACTTGACTGCTGCCTATACTTCCACAGATCTATGACAAAAGGGGTTTGTCCATCTCTAATCATTGCTAGAGATCTACAGTACAGAAAAAAGGCCCTTTGGCCCATCACGTCCATGCTCGTCAAAAGCAACTACCTAACTATTTTAATCCCATTTTCTAGCACATGGCCCATAGCCTCGTATGCCTTGGCATCGCACGTACGCATTTAAATGTTATGAAGGTTTCTGCCACCACAATCCTTACAGGCAGTGAGTTCCAGATTCCCACCACCCTCTGGTTGAAACTTATTTTCCTCTCATCTCCTCTAGACCTCCTGGCCCTTAGCTTAAATCTATGCCCCTGATTGTTGATTCCTCCACCAGAGGGACAGATGTCTTCCTGTCTTCCCCCTTCTGTGCACCTCATAATTTTACATATCTCGATCATGTCCCCTCTTAATTCCTCCTGCTCAAAGGAAAACAACCTCAATCTATGCAGTCTGTCTTCATAACTGAAGCTGTCCAGCCCAGGCAACATCTTGATAAATCTTCACTGCATCCTCCCCAGCCCTGTCACATGTCTTCTATAATGTGGATTCCAGAACTGCACATAATACTGTACTCTACTCTAGCTGTGATCTAACCAGTGTTTTGTACAGTTCCAGCATAATTTCATCTGTCCTGATGCCTCCAGAGACCGGTATATACACGCATCAAGGCCCCTCTGTTCTTCAGTGCTTCCCAGGAACCTACCATTCATTTATTCCCTTGCCCAAGTGCTTTGCCTTACCTGTTCTTGCTTCTGCAAAATTTGCCACCAACTAATGAAAACTCTGAGACATATACACCGGAATGTCTTCCAGTTGGGCTTCTTGCTTAAGCTGACCATTGCTTTTGATTTCTTTCAGTGATCATTGCATCTAAACTGACTTGTTAGCAGGCAAAAGGTTATTATTCCAGAATGTCATACGATCTGACAGCATTGGAGGAGGTCATTCAAACCATTATACCTGTTTTCTGCCTCTTTCAAAGAGCAATCCAGTTGAGTTCCTGCTCTCTCCCATAGCCCAGCAAATTTTGCTTTTCCAGTATTTTTCCATTCCTGTTAAATTCCTAGTGAATTGCTGCCATTTTCCTTTCAGGCAGTGCATTCTAGATCACAACTCGTGGTGTAAAATGAGATACATGAACTGCAGATGCTGAGCCCAAGATAACGCACTGTGGGGCTGGAATAACACAGCAGGCCAGGCAGCATCAGAGGAACAGGAAAGCTGATGTTTTGGGTCAGGACCCTTCTTCAACATCAGCTTTCCTGTTCCTCTGATGCTGCCTGGCTTGCTGTGTTCCTCCACCTCCACACTTTTTTTGTTATCGCGGTGTAAGATAATGTTTTAATATCTCCATTTCCATCTGCCTCTGATTCTTTTGCTGGTTCTTGAGTCTGGATCCTCTGGTTCCAAAACAATCTCTTTATGTTCATGTGGAGGCATTATTTAGTAAAAATGGTAATAGAAAATTCAGTAGTGAGATCATGCCAAATCTGTAGGTATCTGATTCACAAGTGTATTGAACTTCTTACTGTTCAATGCTGTCTTTATAGATTTCTTTCCTTTTTAAAGTTTCTCCTTTTATTCTGCATGGCAGTAGTGTATGTTGAGGTTTCTCTTTTAGACTCCGAGTACAGAGGAAGATCCTGTGACCTTTGAAAAAGCTGAGACCCAACCACTAATTAGTGAAGATATTAAAGAGCTGCCAGAAGAGGAGAAGCAGAGTGCTGGACTAGAAGGACAAGATGCAGTGTCCAAAGATGAAAAACAAGGTACCAGATTGGATCAGAAATCAAAGGGTGAAGGATTCTGTAGGGGAAACAGGATTGGTGAATGCTGACTGAAGGAGGAAGCTGATTGTTGATATTGAAGGATATGCTGTTTGATCTACAGTGTAGGAGTGGATGATCAGGGAATAACAGTCTCGGTTCCTATTCCGGATTGCTGCCTTGCTAATGGGGGAGGGGGCGTGTCAAGATAAGTGGACCAAAAATAGCTAACCGGAGTTTAAGTTACACCTCAATCATGATTGAATGGCATAACAGGGTCAAGGCGATGGATAATAAACCTCTGTGTGTTCCTATGTACTAATGGGAGCATTTACAGTTGTGATATGGCTGAGCCCTGACAGTGTTCTCTCTACTCTGGCTCCAGGTGGGATTGGGCCCGGCTGCAGGACAATCTGTTCATGTTTACTAGAGATGTAACAGTTCTCCGCAAACTCTGCATTTCAGTGCAGCTATAACTGAACTGTTCTCACTTTAACTGCAGAGACTGAAAGGAGTGGCAGGGAAACGACAGTCGAAAAAACTGATGTGACCTCAGAGGTGAAAGAAAAGGTCGAGCCCGAGACTGCTGTTGTTAAAGGTAATGACGGCAAAGAGTGTCTCCACTATAGGGATCCCTAAGAAGCACAGTGTGAAAGGTAACTGGGGCACTGTCTGACACAGCCTCCATCAGCCTGGCTTCATCAACAAACTGAAAGGTCTGTTTCCGTGCAGCATGCCTCTATAACTCTTCAGGACTGAGATGAGAGATGTATTCACTGTAGTGGTGAGCCTGTGGAATTTAATACATGACGAAAACATTATGATTTTTTTCAAGAGTTTGGATATAGCACTTGGTGCTGTGGGGGCAGGGGTAAAGCGGGAGCAGGCTATTGAGTTTGGTCAGCCTTCATAGTGGTGAATGGTGGAGCAGGTTCAAAGGGGCTGAATGGTCTCCTGCTGCTTCTGTTTTCTATGTTTACTATATAATATATATATTTTCTACTTTTGCAAGTACAGAGGAGACTAAAACAGAGAAGGATTTACGATCTAGTAATGTTAAAGATGAAAGCAAGAACAACGGAAAGAGGGAGGAGGACCGGACAGAGAAGTGCAAGTTCATGTTTAATATTGCAGATGGAGGCTTCACAGGTGACGTTTGTTTTTGTGTGCATGTGTGTGTATATGTGTCACCAACCATGTTGAACGCATTTTCACTGGTGAGATGATTGTTAATTAAGAGGGCTGCTGATTTGAAGATCTTCAGCAAAAGAAGCATGTTCAATAGCAACTTTCGAAAGTGAGTTCAGTGTTAAAAATGTAGGACTCTGCGGAAGGGACTTGGAACTAATACCATCACACAGGCTGTTATCCAGTCAATCTCCGTGACAACATGGAAGGACGTCTTTTGGCCCATTGTGTTTCTGTTAACTGTAGAAGCAATTATCTACCACTGTCTTGCTTGTCACCCTGTACGTTCTGCTGAATCTTGCCTTGTTACTTGGTGGCCAGATGAATATGGGAAACACTTAAAGTCTAACATTTACTTTTTTTATTTTTAACACTATACTTTTAAGGTAGTCTTCTGACTGTATGTTTTAGTGTCTGTGCTGAGAGTGGAACCATTTCCTGTTACAGAAGGACCCTCCATGTTGTTAACTGATCCAAATGAGATACTGAAAGGGAACTTGCCTGCTAATGTGTAGGGGTTGCATTTAGTGTACAGAACTCGAGTTGAGACTCGACCAGCAACACACTTCCATTTCTAGCACTGCACCTTGGGGAGGATACACAGACCTAGAACAGGATACAGTGCACATTCACCACAATTCATGAGGACGGGTTGCATAGACTAAGTTGATTCTGCAATGATCTTACTGAGGCGTTTAAGGTGATTAAAGAATTTGATGGGGTCAGTAGAAACTTAGCCTTTGAAAGAATGGTGAAAAAGCCAATGGAACAGAACCTTGAATTTCAAGTCCAGGTCATTCAGGGTAATTTAAAGAAGTACTTCTTCCACATGAAGTAATGTGAAAAGTCTGGACATCTTTCCCCTAAAAATACTGCAAGACTGGGAATTCAATCAAACATTTCAAATGTACAGTTAGTTTTTATGACTATCTGAAGTGAGCTGGGGTAGTTGGAGTTAAAATACAGATCAGCCAGAACGTAATTGAATATTGGATCAGGTTGGATTGCCCAAATGGTTATCTCCTGTTTGTGGTGTTAGCAGAGTGCAGCAATATGGGTACTGGGTTGACTTCCTATCTTAAGGCTCGGGAGAACTGAAATGAACCAGGGCTTGGGATGAAACCTGAGATGAAGTCGCCTGTCTCCTGGCTGGCAATGAGATACTGGTGAATTAATAACAATTTCGGGTGGATGCTAACAATGGTGCTTCTTTTAACAGAGCTACATACACTGTGGCAGAACGAGGAGCGGGCTGCAATATCCTCTGGGAAAGTATCTGAAATTTGGCACCGACGACATGACTTCTGGCTACTCTCTGGGATTGTTGTGTATCCTTTCTATTGCTACTGTTAGATGAGCCACTCTGTGCCAGGTCAACCCAAAGTTTTAGTCTGTTTTTAATTTGTGAGCATAATGTCATAAGTTTAAATCTGGATTAAACCACCCTCTACGCTGTCTCATTGGGTCTGGTATGTAATGAGTCCTTGTTATAAATTGAAGGTGTGCTGAAACTGTTTGAAAACTAATTGCTGTGCACAATGTGAAGTTCCTTTTGGTTGAATGCATTGCCAGCAATTGCTGTTGAGATTGGCCTGGAAGATGATTGGTGCTTTGGCTGTGAAACTGGGGGACAGCGAGCCCTGCTGGGATGGATCCCAGTTAGAGTTTGAGTGGTGTAGGGAGTACAAGGAGGGAGAATGGGGAATGACTGATCATCCTTATTAAGGTCGTCTTGTTTTTGGCTTAGTTTGTTACTTCTGCATGATGCTGCAATCCCCCGAGAATTTCTGATTCGAAGTTTTTTTTTTCTATGCTGGAGATAGAGGCGAGGTGGGCAATCGAATCAGCACTGACTCTCTAGAGTATCCCACCTTATCCCCATAAGCCAACATTTTACCATAAATAACCCACTTGGTCCACACCTTTGGACTATGCAAGGAAACCCACCAAGACTTGGGGAGAACATGCAGATTCCACACAGTCACCAAAGCTGGAACCAAACCTAGGTCTCCAGTGCTGTGAGGCATCAGTGCTAACTACTGAGCCACTGTGCTGCTCTTGTAAAAACTTGTAAGACGAAATTTGAATTCTCAGTGGCCAGTTTGAATAACACAATTTTTAATATTGGACTGAAACACAAATTCATAGTAGCATTAACTAAATGCTTTATTTCAAGTAGATGATTTGTAGTGTAAACTTCAGAAGAAATTCTCAATGCAATACTTAAAACAGCCAAAACTTTCCCTCTGCAGCTATAGTTAACTCTGTCCCTTTAGAAGACACAAATCCCGCCATGACAGATGGTGGAATTTGAATTCAATAAATGTCTGGGCCTAAGAGTCTAATGATGGACCATGAATCCATTGTCGATTATCGGAAAAACCCATCTGGTTCACTAATGTCCTTTAGGGAAAGAATTCTGCTGTCCTTACCTGGTCTGGCCTATGTAACTCCAGACCCACAGCAATGTGGTTGACTCTGAACTGCCCTGTGGGCAATTAGGGATGGGCAATAAATGCTGCCTAGCCAGCGATGTTCTCATCCTGTAAATGAATAAAGGAAAAAACATTATATTCTTTTGTAGTGGTCTGAAATTATTCTTGGCTCTCGAGGCCTTGCTTCCCTTTTTTCTTTTCTAGCCAGATACTTCTAATCCCTTAACTGGCTTTTTATACTAAGAATTAGTTTGAAGCCTCCTTCTTCTAGCCAAAGCCAGGTGCAATGTCTAATCTCATTTAAACCTTCAAAATGAGCTTGGTGTTTTTAGCGTGAGGGTGAGCTTGCGCCCACATTCTTGCAAAGTTAATGGTTGAGACTAACCTGTCTCTAATTTATATTTCTTTCACCCAGCAAGCTGCCCTTTGACAGCTACCCCCCCTCCCCCCTCAAACTTTTATTACCACAGTACCTACTGTCAAATGCTTTGCGTTCAGGTTGAGATGCTAGTTAGCTAGCCTTTTAAAATCCAATTTCATTCTATCTTGGAACTCCTCAAGTATAACTATTTACAAAACATGACATTCTTAAAATGCTTGGGACATTAAAGACAAAGTTGTAACAATGCAAATTGTTGGACTGTACCTTAGAAGGATTTGCACCTTAACTCCCAGCAGGTATGGATATGCACGGTGGCAGGACATTCAGAATGATGCCAGGTTTGCCATTATCAATGAACCCTTCAAATTGGAAGTGAACAAAGGAAACTTCTTGGAGATGAAGAACAAGTTTCTTGCTCGAAGGTTTAAGGTGAGTAACCTAGAAAATTGAATATGGGGATTAAAACATGACCTGAAAGAGGTTGCAGAGATGGAGAATGTTGGAGGAGACTTTAAATTGACAGGATTCCGGCATCACCAGATAGGCCAACGCTTATTCCCCATCCCTTGGATAGGTGATGATGAGTTGCATTCTGGAACAGGCTCAGTCCTTGGAGTGAGGGACACCCATGCGCACAGTGCTATTAGGAAGGGGTTACCTGGATTTTGGTCCAAGTGACAGTGATGCATTTAAGTTAGAATAGGAAAATGTATGACTTGGAGGGGAAACTGCAGGTGGTGGTATTCCATGTATCTGCTGCCCTTCTAAATGAAAGAGATTTTGGGTTTGGAAGGTGATGTTGATCTTGCAGATAATACACTGCTGCTGCAGTGTGTCAGAAGGAGGGAGTGAATGTTGAAGGCACTTAGATGGAGTGGTCAATGAAGCAGGCTGCTTTGTCCTGGAATGTCCTCCAACTTGCTTTGTTGGAGCTGCAATCATCTGATTTAAGTGGTGAATATTCCATCACACTCCTGACTTACATCTTGTAGATTGTGGACAGGCACTGGGGATTTGGAGAGGGAGTTATTTGTGCAGAAATCCCAGCCTTTGTAGTCACACTAATACAACTGATCCAGTTCAGTTTTTGGTCAACAGTATTTCCCAGGATTGTTAGGGGTACAGTCAGTAATGCTAATACCGTTGAAGATAGTGGGTGATGATTGGATTCTCTCGTTGGAAATGGTCATTGTCTGACACCGTTCTGTGTGGAGGAGATATTACTTGCCACTTAGCAACACAAACCTGAATGCTGTCAATGTTGCAGCGATAGAGAGCGCTAGTGGCTGGGGGTAGGCTATCAGGGCCAGAAGAAGTTGCACATGGAGGGCTTGTAGGGTCTGGAGGAGACTACACTGAGTTAAGGTGCAAATCACCACCGTAGATTATACCAGTGAACCTTTTGCCCTTTGCCGCATGCTATGTGTGCCTGTTTTAATACAGTAGCCCAGTGAATTATTAAGTCCTCTTGCACACAGATTTAATGCACCTCTTTCTCTGTGGCGGTTAGCTTCTGGAGCAAGCATTGGTAATCGAGGAGCAGCTGCGGAGGGCAGCCTACCTGAACATGACACAAGATGCCAGTCACCCAGCCATGGCACTCAATACCCGCTTTGCAGAAGTGGAATGCCTGGCTGAGAGCCACCAACACCTGTCTAAAGAGTCACTAGCTGGGAACAAGCCTGCCAATGCTGTCCTGCACAAAGGTGAGTCTGCCAAGCATGATCCTGTGGCTTTTTTTAAAAAACCAAGACCAGCATTTCTGCAGTATTTCACAACCTGAGGATATCTGTAAGCACTTTTTCTGACCAAGATGAGGTAGACCTGTAGGAAGGATGACAGCCAATTTGGACAGAGCAAGATCCCAAAATAGCGATGCTAAAGTGAGCAGATTGTCTTGGTCTTTGTCTTTGTTCCATTGCTATCAAAGATATCTGATTTGCAAAATTTGGTGCGGAGGAATTGGCTGTCTTAATGAGACGTGTTTGATTTTTCTCTGTCTGTCTCTGTCTCTGTCACCCTAGTTTTGAACCAACTGGAGGAGCTGCTGAGTGACATGAAGGCAGATGTGACCAGACTCCCCTCTACATTGTCACGGGTCCCACCAATAGCTGCTCGTCTCCAGATGTCGGAGCGCAGCATCCTCAGCCGATTGGCCAACAAGGGAAGCGAGGCTGCAAATACACCAGTAAGTTTAAATCCTTGCCTGCTGTTTTTCAATCAAACTGTACAGTTCAACACCCTGTCTCTACACCAGGCTTGTTTTTGCAAGGGTAAAAATAATGTCAACTCTGTAACCTGTTTTCATAGTTATAGCTGTAGGTAATGGGAATATTCAACGCAGGAGGAGAAATGAAGAACGAAGGTCAAAGCCCCTAGATTTTTTTCAGTATTATTAGTAATTTTGCTTTTTTTCCTGACCCTTGGGCTCTCCACCTGAAAGTTGCAGTCTCTCTTCAAATTGTTTCAATTCTCACCACAGTGAACCTCCCTCTCAGTTTTTAATGAGATGGCTGTTGATTCTCACTCCTAAACTGGTGGTTTCCCACCTTTCCCCTTTGATATTTATTTCTCAAACCATTTTTATTAATTCTAAATACTGCAGTTAACTTGCCAGAATGGGCACTCTGCTGAAATCTCTTAGTTCAACAACTTGGTGAATTTAAAGGGATCCAACTCCGTGTTGTTCCTGGGAGTGTTTAATGAGGACATTATAGAGGAAGCTTTGCTTTCAGTTTGAATAGTGGGAAGTTTAGTCTTCATATCAGCAGTGGGAATTTTCATATTTGAAGTTTGTACGTTTGATCTTGGTTTCTAATTAATTCTGAATTGGTTGCTGAATGGACATATTGTAATTACTTCAGTCCTCCCCAGATGACCTTGTTTGTGGTTGTGAGATTGGTGCTTCTACAGTTATGGACATATTGAGCGAATTGTGCTTGACCTTTTGGTGTGCTGTTATAAAATGATGGAATGTTATGATGGAAGTCTGACCTTTTTAATCAAACTGTAACTGGCAGTTATTTAAATCTGAAGTTTGCTTTTGCTTCCCAGGCCTTCCCACCAGGCCCATATACAACATCTCAAGCATATGGTGGCTCTTTTGGGCCACCTGTTCCTGTCAGTACACCTGGAGGCCCAATGAATTTCAGTCAGGTGCCAGGTGGCTCCTTTGTAACAGGTTAGTGATGTGTATTTTGTGAGCTCTGATTTGATTAACCGTACTGTGGATGGGAATGTGATGGGTAAGCAAAGGGGACCCTAACAGGTGGTTTTTCTCATGTCTCCACTGCTACCTCTAGGAACAAGCTAAAAACAAAGAAGTATAAAAGATCACAAGTGGTCCTTCTCTGGATGAAATCATCTTGAATCTAGCCTGCAGTAGCCTTAGTTCAATAAGGCTGGAGGGCTCCCATAACCATGCAGTAGGGGGGATAATCATGTCACTGGGTGTCAGGCTAGAATTACAGGCCAGAGAGAAACTGGGGCCATTCACTAGAAAATTGGAAGAGTGCTTGGACTATTCATCTTCTGACCCAAAGACCAGAATGTTGTTACTGCAACTGTTGGGGAGGGGACGGTCAATGTTGTTGACTGGCCAGTGATAGCCATGAGGAGTGAACCACAACCCTTAAAGTACAGTAGGGAAACAAATTAACATCAACACAGGTAGTCTGCCCTTGATTATGCTAGTGTGAGGAATCCATAGTGTAAATATCAATCAGTGAAGGGAGCCCCATAAACAGCTAGCCAGCTTGTCTACAACTGTGCTGACATACTGTTGGTGAACCTGAGGTAACTGATTTTGGGCAGGCTGAGGGTACAGCCCCCCTTCCTGTGAAATCACCTGTGGGTTTCCTGTTCCATGTAGAAACCATAGAAATGATATAGCACAGAAGAGGCATTTGTCCAGAGGCAACATGATTATCAGAAATCTCTTCTACATGTAAACCAGCTGTCTTATCAAATGAGGGAATAGCCCCCTGTAATGTTTCAGTTCTGCTCCTCCCCAGTCTAAGTTGTTCATCCCTGCTTTCTTGGATGAATTAACTGGAAGGTCACACATTTCCCTGAATGAAGAGATTGAGGAGCAAATAAGAAAATACTGGAGAACCTCAGCAGGTTTGGCAGCATTTGTGGAGAGGGGAATAGTCAATGTTTTGAGTTTAAATGTATTGGAAAATTTTTAATATACTGTTTGACAATGACAGTAGTGGAGGGGTAAAGGAGAACAAATGGTGTAGAGCCTGTTTGAGGTTGTCAATAATAGTGAAAAAGAAAACAACCAGGTGTAAAAACTCAAATGCACACTCTCTGGTGTTCTCATTCACCAGCCCGCCTCCTGTCTGCTCGCCTGCCCTGCCTTGCCCTTGGGTACGGCGTTGTCCTTTGTCCTTTTTGAGCAATGCACACAGATCAGTGCTCCAGACCTCAAGGTCTTTGTGGTGTATTCCTTTTCGTGTTCTATCATCTTTCAGTTTGCCAGTACAAATCTGTTACGTTATTTGCCTGATTCACTATAACACACTTTCTAACTCTGCCCAAAGACAGCATGAATAGCAAGAATTTGTTCTTAGGAAATGAAGCAATAGCATTAGTTTCAGTCCTGCATATTGAAGCTAGGCGAGCATTTCCTGACCACTAGTTGTCATGTACTAAAGTGATCTCACCTGGGACAGCCAGGGAGATTTTTTGGGGGTGTGGGGTGGTGGTGTAGAGATCCCAATGCCCCAGCACTGTGCTGAAAGGAAAATGAGTATTGAGTGGAAAACATGGGTGTTGCTCTCCATACCAAAGTCCAGCTGTTGTTTATTGAACCACACCACAATGGACATTTCTTCAGGGAGTGGTGAGGGGAGAGGAATTCTGATGCTAGATAAACTGCGTCCTGTGTGTTTAAGTAAATGTTTGGAGTTTGTCTCCCATCAGCTTGGTATTTGCACTAACGAAAGGGTTGTTGTTCCTTTTTTTTTTTTTTTGTTTTTTTTTTCCTTTTCTCTCCTGTCCTGCCCACCCTGCTTCCAATCCCCCCCCTCCCCCCTCCCATGTCCCCTTCTTTCTATTCTGTACAAGATCCTGTACAGCTCCCCCCACCAGTGAGCATTCAACATCCCGTTTCTGGAGCACTCACAAGCCAGGGCCACCTCATCCTCCCACAGCCTTTTCTGCAGCCTCCCACCCAGAGGCCCATCTCTTTCAGTAACGACCAGCTTCCTACTAACACGCTGGGAGCCACAGGTGCAACATCAACTATCATCCCACTCTATTTATGTCTTATTCCTTGTGAAGGCTGATGCTTCGAAACTGTATCTGTGTCTCGTCTCATCTGTTGTGCATGTTCAGAAGCTCTGAATGGAAAGACTTTCACCATCAGGATCTCTTTGACTGGTTGATTATGACCTTTCTCTCAACCACTCGGTTGGGTAAATGGGTGGATAATGTGTATCAACAAAGTCCTACTTTGAGACTTCGCCTCAGCATGCTCAAACTTGACATTTGTTGGTTAACCAATTATAGCTGAAATGGTAGCAGTGTCTCCATAATGTAACTCGAAGTCCCTCGGTTTGGCAAGGCCACATCCTAATCTCTCGAAAGTCTGATTTTGTCCTTTTGGATGCTCCCCCGTAATAGAATAGCCTGACTACTCCTTCCTCAATCCCAGTCTCAATTACCACGGTAAAGTTGCCAGTGCCCGTTTTTCAAGGGAGAAGAAACTTGACCAGCTCCAGAGTTCCCACCTCGCCCCTGTGCACCTGCCCCCTATGCCATTCCCTTTATTTCTTTCTATCCCTTCAGCTATATCATGCAATGGACCAACATCTGTGAGTAAACACAGACAACTGTGGCAGGCCTCTCTTGGCCCCTTGTTTGTGTGTTGCCCATAAGTGGAGCCAACTCTGTGCTTGGAACCTCTATTAGCCATAGTCGAGTTCCCGGCACAGATTGTGTCAGTTTCCCTACTGAGTACTGTTTTTTTTTTTTTTTTTTTTTTTCAGTACTGCTTTCCCCAAAATATTAAATTCTCAAAATCTGTGGAATCAAATTGTCATTTGCCTGTGATAGCATGAGTAGAGGCTGGTTTCTTGGGTTAACTTGTACCTCTTAGCATTTGATGATCTTCTTTGTGACCAGGAGTTGTGTAACTGTTTTCCAGTGCAGAGTTTATTAAAACTATGCCCATTTTGGATTGAAATTTCTGTTCAAGTTATCCAAACCACATTAATTTTCATGACTTCCTTCATGAGTTCTGCTGGTGAGAGTTCTATCCATTTTGCCTTGTTTGCAGTCTATCTCTTGTCTATGGGGCAGCTTTCGAGCCTGCTTCACCATATGCATGTCCCAGATTTAGTAAAACTGGAGGTATCTTCATTCATCAACTTTGCATGCGTTCTGTCATATCTTTCACTGCACTGAAACAGAATTGTGAACAGTATCACACCATGTATTAAAACTAGTGATTATTAACTCTAAAGTTTTTTAGGTTTGAAACTAAATTGTGCAGCATGTGTTTGGGGGATTTGTCCACTATTAAACCAGTGCCTTTGTTTAAAGAGTTAAGGGAACATCCTCGACATGAGGGTAATTGTGAATTTTTGCAATATTAATTGCTAACTACCTTTGTGTGTGTATAGAAGTCGTATTTTGTTCAATAAGTCAACATTTCACAGTGGATTATATAAAGTTTAAATGACTATTGTTGTCAAAAGCAGTTGTTAACTGTTTTATTATGGGCATACTTGGATGATTAAGAATCTTGCAGGCACTTTCTACTCGTCTGAGAAGTGGTTGCTCTTTGACAACTGAAGTTCAGTTGTAATGTTAAGATAACAGTGTGGAGCTGGAGGAACACAGCAGGCCAAGCAGCATCAGAGGAGCAAGAAAGCTGACATTTCGGATC